GGCCGTTAATTATTTTAAAATAAGTCCTAAACATATTTCGCATCTATCGATCAACAATGCAAGTAAACCATCGAGAAGGTTCTAGAGGCATATTTGAGAAACGTCCGCCGAGTTTCAATTTTGTTTGCGGCAACAAGTGAAACCGCTACGTGATTTAGTTTTAGGACAAAGTTTTCGGTCAAAAAAGATTAAGTACGTGTTTCACAATGTTGTTTATATTTGTTTTTTTTTTTTTATAACAAAAATTTTAGTTGACAAATGCAGCACTAAAGCAATATTTCAACTTTTCTCAATTATATGTGATAATATTTATTATAAACATATATTATTTAACAATCTTTTTCTTTTTAAAGCACTCGATAAGACCTGAATAAGATTGACGGTGAGCCTTTCGTTGAAGGGATTAAAGTAGAAATAAAGATAACCCGTAAACCACCAATGAACGATTGAAAAATAAGCATGATAATTATTACTATGCACTACTCTCCTTCAATGATTAAGTATTATTATACTACTCTTAATAAATAGTTACTTATCGATATTATTATTTTTCTGTTTACAATTTCATATTATTGCTATTTTTTAATAGCGTTAAAGAAGAAAATACACATACAACATAGATTCTTCATCCAATTAACGAGCTTATGGCCGTGTCTTTGAATCAATCTTCCTTGTCCATAACCGTTAAGGTTACGAGTACTTCTAATTCAAGTTCAAGCGGCCGAGGTTCTGTGGGCATTGTTTTTAGAGGTCGTCTAAACATTATAATAAATTTAATGAAGGTTGATAATGATAAATGTATTACTTAGGTTTTAGGTTATAATCGTGACCAATTCAATCGTTTTTCAAAGTTACGGAATAAAAAATAATAGACAAATTTAATTATATAATATCCAGTAAAAGGGCACAAGTGTACCGATTTTATTCTAACTTTATTAATAAAATATAATTTTGATTTCATTATTTATATAGTCTCTCTTACTTAAGTTCTTCTAATGTAAATCTTGTTCCTACTCTACCAGCTCCTTCTATTTTAAGATTTTGATTACTCTGTGGCGCATTTGCCAAGGTATTGGCTTCGGCGTCGGGGGTCGTGGGTTCGATTCCCACACGGGACAACTATTTGTGCCACCCACAGACAGTTGTTTCGCCTCTGGGTATTCGTCCGTGTGAAATTTATGTTTGTAAAACGACCTTACACCACAGCATAATGTTATCCTAAAGTAAGGGCAACGTTTTTAAAAAAAAAAAAGAAAAACAATTAGGTATATTTTAATTAATTCGAATACCATTAGTTGAATGAAATCACGAAAGTGAAATCTTAAATTCGACCAATTAACAGAGATTACATTGAAATTCAATTAAAACTGTTTATAAAATAGGCCGATTTTTTTTGTGATGCAAACCGGTCAAAATTCTTTCGCCATCGGCTCTCTAGTTCAACACATGATATCGTTACGCAATCAATTTGAGTGTTTTTTTAACAGATAAGGTATATATTTATTTTAAAATATATACCTCAGTATATATTTTACAAATCGTTTGAACAATGTTTAAGTTAACATTATTTTTATTTATTCATGATCTTTTGTAGAAGTTATTCATCACAGGGTGGACAAAAAGTAATCTTGATAATAATATTTTTCAATAATTTGAAATAATTTTGGGCATAGCTTGCAATATCCTGTGGCAAAATAGCATTTTCTTTTAATAATTATTATTTTAAACTATTTACTTTTAATAAACACACGGTCAAAGAAACAATTAATAATTCAATATTGATAATGCTCAAAAATTTAAATAGCATATATTATACTAACAAGTCTTCTCAATGATGCTTTAAAGACAAGTTTCTAATCTAGTAATGTGTTTAATTTCCGAGCGAGGAGTAGCTCCAATGAATACTGATTTATTATTTTGTGTTGACGAATTCCAAGACTCATTGACACGATAAAATACTTAAAGACAATATTTAATTAAAAGTTGTGGAAAAAAGTACGACAAGTTTTCGGGAATCGAACCCACGTCTTCGGGTTTTGCGCCTTAACGCTTTAGCCACTAAGCTAAACAGTTTATTGCCATACCGATGAAAATCTCAACGTCTTTTTTTCACATTCTTTTTTCGCATTTGAAGCAATGATTGGCTCATACATTATTATATCCTTTTCAGCATAAAAACTTCCAGATGGTGAGCTAGGGATATCGCTGACAAGACGAAACCTAAAATGTCTTTACTTAACACTGGTCTTCTGAGGATAAAAGACTACTAGCAAAGTTATAAACATTATATTTAAACTTCCTTTGCCTGGCATACCCCAAGTATTTATAGTAGTTTTTTTTTAAACTCTATTTCCTATTAGATTCTATAATATTTATTTAAAGTTGTTGTCCCCCCACTTGTTGAAATGCGAGTTAATTCTAATAATTAATTGTTATTTTCTCAGATTGTTTCCGTCAATCGACATTATAAAATTATTTTGCAACAATCTTTAGGTATGTCCTACGTGCAACTGTTTGATAACAGACTGTTATGGTTTGATACTGATAGTACGAGTGTAAACAATGAATGTTTTATTTTATTTTATGTATTTGTAAACTATAATATACATAATTTAGAACTTTTTGCAAGTACTTCAATTGCCTCACTCCTCCGTGCGCGCATTATTCTTGAAAAGGTTTCCAAAAGTTTCACCAGACTATATATATATATATATATGAATGAAATGAAACATTGGATAAAATTTATACTTGAGATATCTTAAAACCTTAGGAACCTGTATTTTGAAAGGAACTTAGTGGAATCGCGTGTAGGTAAAACCACGATGGAAATAAAACTTTGCTATTGCCAACAAGGTCCTATCTGTTATACATAGGCTTCCTTAAAAGATGATTTCATCTTTGTCACTGGTTGTGACAAAACTGGTTGTGTTGGTGGCAAAGATAGTAAGTGTTATGATGGTGCAGTCACCACGAAACATTGTTTGAAAAACAAACTGTTCAGATTGTTAAATTAAGCAAATTGATGGCATTTACCAACTTTTAGACCATTACTTCCCAGATAATAACAAATTCTCGGATCTTTATTAAACATTTTTGACCATTTCCGATCTCAATTGACACATCACTTGAGTTCGAACCCGCGACCGCAAGAGCACTACCAGAGTATCAGCTACGAGCACAGATTGAATGTTGAAACTTATATATAAATATCATTTAAATACACGAGAGTCAAAATTTATATTTTATCGTTTTATTTCCTTTCGTAATTGCGTTGCATTTTGGGGGATAATTTATTTTTTGCGGTAACTTCGGCAAATAGTATTTTTAGAACAATAGTATTTTTCAACTTATTATAACGAGTAGGTAACTTTATTCCCTTAAAAAATATTAAAGATATATTTTTAGATATAGCTTTTTACACCATACGCTGGCCCCATACTTAGCCAATTACTAGCCAAGGAAAAAGTCAAATGCCAATGTCGAAAAATACTTTCGTTGTAGACGTGCGTTCACTTTCTACTTATCCCCTCTAAGGTTTAGCAAAAACTGTTCGGTGAAAATGGCTTCACACGTTATGTACGATTAATTACTTTAAAACTGGTTCCGCATTTGACACATGTCATACATTCGTACATTAATATTTTTTGCTACACCGAGAGGCGATAAAGTGAAATTCTTGTCGCGTGATAACGCTTGCCGTTATCGAATTTAATTTTAATATCTGCTATCTTTATTATTACCGTTTTGATCCAAGAATTAGCAAGATATGAACCAAGAAAAAGTAGCAGCTTTTGCAAACCTTCCTTATAAATTATTCCGCAAATTTTTTAATTTTTAATTCTGCCTTTTTAATGTGTTTATCAAACAAACGTTTAAGCTAACACCATTAAAATCGTTTACAGAAGCTATTTAGTTAAATATTTTGTTCACAGAATGTATTTTCATTAAAATAACCTATGTTGAGAAAAATAAATTAAAGACGTTATACTTAAGGAAATGCCGATTTAAATCCTCCGTAAATTTGCCAACATTACGGTAAACATTAACCAACTTAACCATCGACTCGAGTAGAACTTTCCAATTTAATTTTAATCGCACATTTCGAAAAACCTAGACCTAAAAACTGCGTATTTTTAACGGTGTTACCTGTTAGCATCAAAATAATCAACTGAGAAGTGAGACGCACTTTCAGATATTTAATTTTTATTCTATGACTGTCAAGAAAACAAACAATTACATAAAACGTGGTTCATGCTAATGCATTATACATTTTATACAACCGAGACTGACGCATTAGTGTTATTTGCAATAGCAAGATTCTAATCGGTGGCTTTAATAATTATCACTATGTATCGATGGCGTTCACGTAAAGGATATAAAAACATCAAACATAATAATGTGAAATACACGTTTATTTCAAATCAAACAGTCACGTTCATTCAACATCCGTACATTTCAGATCCAATAATATACATATTTAACCTAAATCCTACCATACATTCATAATGTATTAATATTTTTATTATTAAATATATTCTTACAATGTAACATTTAGTATTAGTATTTGGCTCATCTTACCAAAGCGTTTCGGACATGGCAAAATAACTGGGAAGATACGCCACCCGTTTATATTTTGTTCACGATTGTTCTCATACAGTCATTGGTGTCGGCAGGCTACAATAATTACAATCGGTGGCCAAAAGTAACAGTAAACATAGTGCTTATATTAAAGAAAACGTTGGAATGTTTGGATAATGGCGGTATTGGTAAACGCGTCCTCGACATTTCCTCTGGCGCGCGGTGTTCGGTGCGTCTTCCACACGCCTCCGACCTGACGCGAATAGTTTAGCCGACACGTATTACAATCATCTCTAAACTACGTAGTTATCTACATTGCGCGTTTTACATGGTAGACCACGGGGTCAAGGTAACTTAAATTTTTGGTAATGTTGGTTGTCGGTCAGGGCTCACGTGCATTGTTCATTCTTTTATGAGGACTAGGCGAGCAGGTGCGCGAAGGCCAAGAATAGCAACGACGCTCCTAAGACCGGCGCGGTGGCCGCCCCGTGCGGTGTCGGTGTCAATGGCGTTACCTCAGGGCTGAATATGTAACTCTTAGTGCCCGTATGAGACTTAAGGATCCTGTAGTTCACCTCGTCGAGGGACACTTGGTTCTTAATAAAGTTGTACAGCCTGTTGATTACCACGTATATGTTGCCGCTGTCGTCGAATGTGAAACGGTCGACCCACTGTATGTAGTTCGGGTCCCTGGCGATGGTCCGCTGGCCGACGCTGAAGTCAAGCGTTGTGTTCCATTCGGCGATGGTCGAGTTGCCGATCAGACCGAAGAACAGGGTGCCCGCGGAATCCATCTTCATGCCGTCAGTTTGGGACGGCTTCGCGCCGAGCTCGAGGACGTACGAGCGCAGAGCTCCGTCTCCCTTCGCTGCGAGGGACTCGTTTCGCAAAATCGATGCGTTCACGGCGTACAGGCGGAAACTCGACAGGGGTGCGTAGTAAACTGTCCTGTCGACAGTGCCCTCTTCGGTCAAAAACTGAGGGCCGAGAGCGATACCGTCAATGTTCACGGGCAGGTTGATCGTGGTACCGTTGATGCGGAAGATGGCCGCCTCGGGGACGGACATCATCGATTTACTGTCTCGAATCTTCCACGATTTCCTGTCGCTTCGACGGAAAACTATGATACCGGGATCGACGGCGCTGTTGTCCGTGATGTACGCGTAGTCGCCGTCGCGATTGTCCACCACCAGGTCGTTCAAATATGACGTGGTCGCGTTCACCGTTTCCGCGGGCAGCGGTATGCGTTCCATTTCGTTCAAGCCGGTCTTCAGGTCTATCAAAACTAGGGAGGGTGGGCACTTCGTGTCAGGCTTCTGGGTGAGCGTGCCGATGCGCCCGTTGTCCAATATCCACATGATCCCGTTGCGGTCGATTTCCACGTTCTGCACAAACTGCAGGGCGGTGCAATCGCCGAGCTTGTTCGCGTCCCAGCTGGGGAACGGCTTAAGCTTCGGCGCCGTGTCCACCTGCTGCACGGGTATCGTGGCGAGCGTCGCCGGGACACCGTCCAGCATCCGCGGCAGCGTCAGAAATATGCTTTCGCCGTAAAAGTTTATCCCAGAGATTAGGACGTTGCGCGGTATGTATCGGCTGGTATTTAGGTAGGCCTCTCGGTCGCCCGGGGTGGCCCACTCGAAGTCTATAGCGTTCCATTCGTAGATGACGCGGAACTGTTCGCGGCGGGGCGCCGGGGCGCGTGCGGTGCCCGGTGTCGAGTTCTGCGCGGCCGCGGCGGCGACCGTTGCAATTAATACCAGCGACAGCATGACTCGTGCGGGACGTGCGGCGCGGAAGGCGCGTGGAGTGCGACTGAACGCCAGACCACCTCGCCTTTGCTGGCGGCCCGCCTGTCGCGTCGCGTTAGCCTCCGTCAACATATGCACAGGCCATACATAAACAATCTCGCAGTTGCGGACGTTTGATCCGATTCAAATTGCCGTTGATAAATCTTGTAGGGCGATGCACTCGTTGCGATTTAGTTGGAACGGGGTATGAGGGTGAGTCAAGGTCAGCGCTCGCCCTATCCAGACAGAGGGCCCGGCCGTCTGCCCGCAATGCATAGGGGTCGTGCAGGATCGATTAAGTTCTTTGGTTGTAACTTTTCCCGTGATACTTTAGATAAAATCTGTATGCGTACACTGTCACGCGATCCGTACTCGTACATGCATGCAATTTCGTTTCCCAGTTTATATAATCACTGGTATTAACCTGAATCTTTATATTATTGTAATTCATTGTGGCGCAATTGTATAATCTATAGAAATTATTTTGTTTTCATATTAAATAATTTTCGTACTTAATGATGAAACACTGTCGAAATATACACCAAAATAGGATGATAAACGATTTTAAAAACATTACTGTTATCTATTTAAATCTCGTAAACGTTATTAGCAACGGTCGTTTGCATTTTTGTTTAGTATTTAATCTGTTGTCTTCAAAATATTTAATTGTATTTTTTACTGTGTGTGAGTAAATGATTTTAGATAAATTTATCTTTATTAGTTAAATCCTGTTGGATAAATTATAGGCCTATATCGGGTTACTATGAAATGATTTGATGATGTAAGGGTCTATCTACTTATCAAAACAGATGGTCACATTGATCACATCTTTATGCTTGTCTTGTTAATAAAACACTCTTGTTTTTACTCAGTTATGATTATTCATATTAATTGTAGGTTTGAACTTGGTAAGCCAGTGAGTCAGGATAGAAACTGGTCGTTGTACCCTTGAGTCATCTCAATGTAGAGTAGGTATGTTTTGTAACAAAAAAGGAAAATTCTCATATAAAATTAGTTTCGGATTGTTTCATAAAATAATGTGTACTATATTCCTTACTTTTGGTTCCTTCTTCTTGGTTTTCCAGTTATTTGATGTTTATATGATTTTAAACCTGTAAATACTTAGCTTTGTTTTGACACTACGCTACCAGATAACATCCGGACAATTGCGCGGATTGTTATATTGTTAGAATTGTATTTAAATTTTAATTAATCGCATATTTTATGAGTTGTCTCTTATTGGGGAAATTTTAAAAGCCTCGCTAAAAAAGGTAATACAAAAACATACATGTCGTTCATCGATTTTCGACTTAGTTTTCGACGGCATCACCTAGAAACTGTATGAATAATGTTATTGTAACTTGTAATGAAATAAGCGATGGAATTTGATATCTGAATCACCGAAACTTCTGTCGGGCAGAAGTTTCCCACACATCTGTCCCACAATACGATTCGTGGGTTGGTCATTTTCAATTAATCTTTTATATATGTATATAATTCTTCTGTACGTGTATGTCACTGAACTCTGGTTGGACCGTTTTTTTGTGTGTCTTCAGGTAGATTCAAGAATGGTTTAGATTCACAATTCATTCCACTACTATTTTTTTTTTGTTTATAAGTTGTTGTCGTATTTAAGTCGTATCTACAGGACAAAGTCTGTCGGTCCGCTAGTCATATATAAAATGCTACTCATTAAAACGATGGTGCGGGCATAGTGATTTAGGTTTAGGTGCGCTGTGTGTATTTATAACCTTTCTCGCTTGGGATTGGGACTAAAAATCTCGGTGGAACGTAGACAACTCGAGTTATCCGTCCCGTTACTGTCGTTTAGCTTATCTCTATATAAAAAAAGAATACAGACAGGAAATGCCTGGAAAATCGCGCTGATGTGGAACGCTGGATATCGAGGTGGTGTGGATGAAATTTCTGGTTTTGGCGGGATCTCCGATGGTGAAATTTAGCGGCCAGGATCAATTCAAACAATTTCCCAGAACACTCCCTGTGATATGTGCGGTAGAAGATGCATTGATTCAACATCTCTACATAGAGATAAAGGATCTGTCTCTACGTATTTTGTTCGTGTGAAACTATTTGAGAGATTCTTTCATAACTACGAAATATGTTATATATCGCTCTCAATTTGGTTGACTATAAAATATTATGCATATCTTTATATCGATGTTATAGCAACGTGTTATAGTCTACCATGTTGAGAGCTTCCACTTCATGCGTTACTCAAGTGTTCCTTATAAGTTTTTAAAAAAGACCGTAACAGCATATTTCTATCTTTTAACATTAAAATGAAGCACAAATACAATTATCAATTTATTTCTGCATGTACGACGTAAAAAAAAACCAAATCTATAATGATATGGTGTAAAACGCCAAAAGTATATGTGACGGTCCTATATGTAGTTAAGACATTGATTGTGAAAAATTAAAGTACTTAATAACTAAACAAGTGCGGGTCGGACTCGCGCACGTAGGGTTCCGTACTATCTATATATAATAAATAAAAATGAATTTTGGTAAGCGCTGTAACTCAAGAATGGCTGGACCAATTCTAATAAATTTTTTTGTATGTTCCTTAAGGTCCACGGAAGGTGAAAAAAACGAATTCTGTCTGGGCAGCTAGTTAATAATAAAAACGGCAAAAACCATCATGTCCACCACCACCATTGTATGGGAGCCCCACTTAAATATTTTTTTTATTCTGTTTTTTATTACTTATTGTTATAGCGGCAACAAAAATACATCATTTGTGAAAATTGCAACTGTCTAACTATAGTCACAGTTCATGAAATACAGCCTGGTGACAGACGGACAGACAGACTGCGGAGTTCAACTAATAGGGTTCCGTTTTACGCTTTGGGTACGGAACCCTAAAAAGAGGGAAATAAAAAGAGAAAATACCATAGAAAACGACGCTTCCGTGCAGACACTCTGCTTTCAGAATAATTTATGGAAAGGGCTGTGAACTCTCCCCCATTTTGTAACTAGATAGAATTATATATTATGTTTCCTTCACAGTCTGGCTTTAGTCGAACATATAGAGACCCATGCTTATGCAACTACTTCTAGTTTTAGTTTGAATGTATCTATGTATATATGAGTTTTTTGTTAGTTCCCTGAATGTCTGATGCCTAATACAACGCAACCAATATTATTCATTCGCTTTCTTAATGCATTCAAAAGACGTCTTGCCAAAGGCATAAGTTAATACAATGCGTTAACAAGGCGTTAAACAACATATTATCATCTATTTCTCTTTTCATTTTCTCTTTTTCTCGTCTTTATTTTGGTAAATAAATGGATTTTCTTTCTTTCTTTCATCTATCAGTCTTACGGTAAATATAAAATGTGCATGTAAATGTAACTTCTCCCTTCTTCTGCTGCCCTTATATAATTTTTGTATGGCACAAACTCTGTGCATTACGTAATGTATGGGAATATACATAAATACTGTGGTGGTAATAGAGCGGCGTCTGTTGCAAGAATGTGCGTGTTCGTCCAGGAATGTACCGTGGCCTTGCAGAAGACTGTTGTGAACTGGATGTATTACTTCCTCTTCCTGTAGTGGGTGTAACCGGGGCCCACACTCCTAGAGTTCAGCAAGTGTTGTTGATGATGTCAATGGAGGCAATGAACCAATGAAAATTTATGGTTTCTTGGAGCCACAGAGGATATAGGTCACCTGCATAAAAGTATTATTTCGTTGGATATTTCAATAATCAATTCAATATTTAGGGATCAATTTTAGGGGCTTGAAAATCTGTCTGCTGTTGACTGATATTTTATAAAATAGTAGCGATGGGAACAATTTGACATGATTTTGATTTGTATACTTATAAACGGTGCAGCCAAGTAGTATCATATCCCTAAATAGCACCTTCCGGAAATTACGAAAAATTGATTGCTTTATTACGTTTGAAAAGTTTTCGAATAACAACGCTTGGTTCTTTTAACCATGGAAAATAACTGAGTTTTTCTGTCGCCTCAAAACAATAAAAATCGTTCTCACGCGGTCGTCTTTACTTGGGTTAGGCAAAGGAAGAACACAACAATTAAGTGTTTTACTTATAAACCTAAATTTGTATTAAAGTTTTTGAGCTTGCTTTAAACATTATCTCTACAGTGGGATGAGATCATCCTGTGATGTAGGGCGCATTACAAACAAATAAAACAAGTACCTATTCCCGATTCAGAAACAATTATCTCTAGGTCATGCAAATACTTGTCCCGGTTGGGAATAGAACCCACGACTCGACCACCGCCCGACATCGAACTAATTTAGCCTTAAACTGACCGGTGCTAAATATGTCACCACAATGTGGAATGTAAATTATCACGTAAGGAATGCACGTGTACTTCAACATGGATTAACGTCATGTAGAAATCTTACCACGTCTTAGCTACTATGCTACTACTGCCTTTACGTGTTAATGTACCAAAAGTGATTTAGAAGTATCTGCCTCCGTGACGCAAACTACTAAAATATAACATCATAACTAGACAATGGCGCAACTTCAGCGTCGTATGAGGTTGTATAACGATAGTTGCTTATCCTGATATGGTCCAATTCTTTGTGGAATGTCTTCAAACATAAAACAACACTATCTTTTTATCATTTGAGACTAGGCCCAAAGAGTGTTCAGGTTTTGTATATTAGCTATATTATATTACTGTACGTAGCTGCAGCAAAATTAAATTTGCTGATGTTTATTTGTTTTTCAGGTGGTAAGAAACTTTAAAGTTATTTATTATATTCAAAATACGAACAAGTATCGGAATTTAATATCTAGCAAGTGACAGTGACAAACAACCACGAATGGGCAGCTCCGTCCGGGTTAGTACCACGACCTCACAGAAGACCGGCGCGTGCATGAAGTAGAAGTGTTGCACTTCTGCGTTTCGTCTGGTGAGTGAGGTAGCCGGGCCCATATTATTAGGAGTGGCAACGCATCTGCAACCCTACGGGTGTTGCAAATGTCCATGGGCAGGCGGTTATCGCTTAACATCAGGTAAACCGACATCCAGCTCGTCTGCCACTTCCTCAAATAAAAAAAAATACGTGTTCTGAAAATAACAAATAG